GCTAAGTACTCTTTAAAACACCAGAGTAGGGAGGATGGAGCAGGTTTAAGTTTATTTGATTGATCAGTTTTGCTGAACTATGAAATATTTTGGCTGCAGTGCATTTTTTGCATACAAGTGTAACCGAATAGCTTCAGTGTTGTTTAGTTTGTTTGTGTTAAACTTGAGTATGAACTTATACAAAATGCAGCAAGATATTAAAAAAACTTTTTTATTGCTTAAATACACTATGTCAGTATCAGGCATAAAAGCAGTATCGTGCCATCTCTACTTTTCACACAGCTGAATAAACGTCAAGCAGAAAACTGATTAAACAGAAGTGTGAGATGCTCGAGAATTTACTCCGGTGTCCTGTTATATTTTAGATAGCAAGGAGCAGACGGCTGAGTTTACTAAACTGCACCGAGACAATCTGCAAATGTTATTAGAAGGTTAATAGAGTATCATCTTGTCTTTATTTTTAGTTAGCACATATCTTAAACACTTCAAGCTGTAAGCTAATGATAGTTATATAAGAGGAGACACATGCTGGTGGATGCACGATCTGATTAGTCGACTAATCGCAAAAATAATCGGTGACTAGCCAACTATCAGAATAATCGTTTGTGCCAGACGAAGGTGACACCTTTGTGAAAATCAAATCTCAGGACGTACCACAATTCACGGATCACATTAACTCGCTGGACCGACACATCAGATTCACCAGGGAGGATATGAAAAGTGGCAGGTTAGCCTTCTTGGACTGTGAGATTTCCATCAGTAATGGGGGACATCTAAAAGCTGACCCTGAGTAAATGTGGTTATCCCAGCTGGACTTTTGTCAAAGCTGGAGAAGAAAAAACCCTCAGTGATCCCGTATGTGTCAGCAGTATGGGAACAATTGAGACCCATTTTCTCTAAACACAGCGTCTTTGTGGCTTTTAAACCACAAAACAGGTGAACTCAGGTGCCTGTCCACATTCATAAGTGATGCAGTCATGCTGTAAAGTCCTGTTAATGTTTCTGCGGTTGCATCAGTAACTTCTTTCTTCTGTCGCTCCAGACGTCCCACAGCAGGAGGTCTGTGAGGAGGAGGAGGTTCTCCCTGAGCAGCAGCTCTGGAACCAGGAGAGGAGCTCCAGTGTGGAGCAGGAGGAACCAGAACCTTCACAGATTAAAGAGGAAGAGGAGGAACTGTGCAGCAGTCAGGAGGGAGAGCAGCTGGGACTGAAGGAGGAGCCTGGTACCTTTATGGTGACTGCTGCTGAGGAAGGAGAGCACAGTGAACCAGGAGGAGACGGGGAGCAGCTCCTCTGTGATGACTCTCCTCAAAGTGAAAGCACAGATGAAGAATCCAGCAAGTGTGAAGAGTCAGGGTTAAGTGAAACTGTGACCTCAGTGCCAAAGAAGAGGAAGAAGCGAGACAGACGTCAGGATGATGTGGAGAGCTGGACTGTGTCAGAGAGTCCCTGCAATGCTGCCACAGGTAGAGAGTCTGATGTTTGCCAAAAATCCATCAAGAGTCAGGCCCAAAGAAAGAAACCCAACACTGATGTGAAACCCTATCCTTGTGATACATGTGGGAAAAGCTTTAGAGCTAGAAGTACGTGGAAACGTCACCTTGTAACCCACACAGGTGAGAGGCCATATCCCTGTGATACATGTGGGAAAAGTTTCAGACGAAGCAGTAATTTGTATGATCACATGAGAACTCACACAGGTGAGAGGCCATATCCCTGTGATACATGTGGGAAAAGTTTCAGTCGAAGCAGTACTTTGTATATCCACATGAGAACCCACACCGGTGAGAAGCCATATCACTGTGATACATGTGGGAAAAGCTTCAGTCAAAGCAGTAATTTGTATATTCACAAGAAAACTCACACAGGTGAAAAACTGTTTGCTTGTGACACATGTGGCAAAAGCTTCACTGATAGAAGTACCTGGAAATACCACCTTATCACTCACACAGGTGAGAGGCCATATCCCTGTGATACATGTGGGAAAAGTTTTACTCGAAGCAGTC